ACTTTCAGTGGGAGGTTAGGATCCTTTTCCAAACAAAAGGTTCTGCTACTGTAATTTACCTTCAGTGTTTTTTGCTCTTGGAGAGATAAATGTGTTACCTCATTTTAGTTTTATTATACATGAAAGGACAAAGACTCATACTCGTGAGAAATGGAACATGGTTGAATCTTAGTGCGTGGTGGGTGAGATCATCTGTACCTGCTAATGACCTTTTCGCTGTTGAATCAGCATGAAGGGATTTTATACCATCCTTGAGCTTGCTGAGGGTAGCCAAAGCTTTGTAGATCAAAGTCCTGTATTGCTACATTCCCCCCTCCTCCCACACACACACCCCTCCCCTAATTTATAAAATTTCTTCATTATCCAGGATTCTTAAAAAGGCGTTCAGCCCTGTGTTTTGGCTGTCACACTGTATCATGTATAGTATCAGAAGGGTCTACACTATGTGGAGTGAAATGACAAAACCTTGAGCTAGCATTATCCTTTTATATGATCTACAAGGAAAAGGACAAAACAGATAAATATAGTATCATTGGGAATCTTGTCTAGACTCTGCACCCTTCACAAATGTGACTTGGTTTTCCACTGCCATAAACCAATTGTTTGTTTGTTTTGCCTGGGCCATGAATAGATTACTGATAACAAAAGCACTGTATGTGTGAGACAAAAATTCAGGGTATGTTCAGAGGCTCAAAATAATTGTTATTTATGAAGGATTTTACATTATTATGTTTTTCTCAAGATGTAGCCATGTTTTCATAATGAGCAGTCTGTGGACAATATTATTTTAAAAGCTACAATTAATTAATAGTAGCAAACTAGCAAACGCATCCTTGCATTTCTAGGAAACAACCTACTTTAACAATTTATAAATGAATTAATTCTGTTCTAATTCTTATGTTACTTTCTGCTAAAGAACTTTGCAATTGTGAAACAATTAATATGATGCTGTGTGGAAAAATTGGCCATGCTTGAAACAACTTAAAAAACAGATTAGTTACAAAACTCCTGGGTGCACAAGCGCACACACAGACGCACAAACACACACAGCCAGTTGTTAAACATTTCTCTCTTTATTTTGCTCAGTTGGCTGAGTGCCACTTCTTCATGACTGATGTTTCTTACCAGATAAAATTTAGATCCAACCACCTATTCAATAATTATGGAAGTGTGATCTGTTGTTACAGCTTAAACTGGATGGTAAATACAGGTGACTAATCCATTTAGGAAAGACAGGTTGTGTCCTGCTATTCCAAAAGAGGAATTGTAGAGGATTTACAAGGGAGATCGCAGTAGCATTCTGATTTTCTGCCACACATGCTAGTCTGATGTTTAGAGAGTGATATCCCCAGAGAGGTGTGTGAAAAATGATGGTTGCATTGAATCAGGCAACAGGTCAGTACAGGCCAATGTTTCCTTATCAGAAATAACTCACTTTTCCAAAGCTTTTGGATTATGTTACTAATACTTTTCAGTTTAAGTATTAGTAACATAATCCAAATTAATTTTGACATTACTTTTAAAAATGGATGTTTGGGGGGGGAAATGTCTTTATAATGGTGGGTTTTTTTTTTAAAGAGTAGTAATGAATGTAAAAGAAAAGTAACCAAGATGTAGAATAGTTAGAATAGCTATTATGTATGTATTTAAGTTTTCTGCTGTAAAAAAGATTAAGCTGTTTTGGGGGAAGGGGCCATGACTAAACTTTAAAAAGTAGAAGCTTTCCAGGTGATTAGTCCTTAGAAGTTATTGCCAGCCCAGTTTGGGGAAAAAATCAATTGTTTATCAATCAGTTATGTTGTCAGAAGCTGGGAATGAGCAGCAGGGGATGGATTACTTGATGATTACCTGTTCTGTTCATTCCCTCTGGAGCACCTGGCATTGGCCACTGTCGGTAGACAGGTTTCAGAGTAACAGCCGTGTTAGTCTGTATTCGCAAAAAGAAAAGGAGTACTTGTGGCACCTTAGAGACTAACCAATTTATTTGAGCATAAGCTTTCGTGAGCTACAGCTCACTTCATCGGATGCATACTGTGGAAACTGCAGAAGTCGTTATATATATTATCATACACATTGTAAGGAGAGTGATCACTTTAGATAAGCTATTACCAGCAGGAGAGTGGGGTGGGAGGAGGTATTGTTTCATGGTCTCTGTGTATATAATGTCTTCTGCAGTTTCCACAGTATGCATCCGATGAAGTGAGCTGTAGCTCACGAAAGCTTATGCTCAAATAAATTGGTAGTCTCTCAGGTGCCACAAGTACTCCTTTTCTTTTTGTCAGTAGACAGGATACTAGGCTAGATGGACCATGACTCAGTATTGACCGTTCTTATTCTTGGAATCAGTTTTTGCATATATACAATATGAAATGTCTACTGAGTCCAGATTTGCATGTTATTTATGGAACAATGATCTAATGTAAATACACAGTATTGATGTTACCTCGTTACATGGATGTGGTTTTACATTGCTCTTTCACTGTGCAGTCTCAAAATTGCAGATTTTTTCAACTAAGAAAGAATGGAAATACACACTGAAATAAGTCAAGAGTCTGACCAATATCTTCAAATCTGGATGCCTAAAGCTAGTCTCCTGTATCTGTATTTGGACACTAAATAAGTGGCCTGAATTTCAAAAGCACTAAGCTCCTAGCAGGTCCTACTGAAGTCAGCCCAGGACAATTAAATCCAAAAATTTACATCAATGTAACGTTGATGTTGTAATTTAAGTAATTCAAAAGTCAGGAAATACAAAAATGAATTGTGGCTCCGCTGACGTCTGGCAAAACTCCCACTAACTACAGTGAGGACAGGATTTCACCTCAAATTCTCATAGCAGCCTTAACTTGCCATGTTGGCTAGCCTCTCTTCATTTCATTGAGACAATGGGATTCACACTTACCTAAGAAATGCATTATCAAACCCATAGACTACTTTGGATTCAGTGTATCCCTTGATGTACAATGGTCCAAATTCTCTGAGATATTCACAAATAACTTAAAGGAGAGGTAGCTTGAATGTGTAAGTGAAATGTGGCTAAGATCACTATGAAAACTATAACTTTGACATTTCCTCATACTGGAGTATTTAAAAGGAAAACTAAGGTAAATGTCACCTATTGTATTTAAGTTCAATTTTTAATATTTTGATGTTCCTATTTATTATTTGTTTTATTTTTGCTTATTTGATGTAAAGGAATTTATTTCATACACTTTCTTCATCCACATTAAATAATACTGAGGATAGGACACTCAGAGGTTATATACCTCTAGGACCAAAGAATGTATGGCTGCTTGTGGGGACCATATTCTAGAAAGCCACAATTCTGAAAAGGATCCAGGGGTCAACAACTGAACATGAACTTGCAGTGCAATGCTGTGGCTAAACGGGCTAATGTGATTCTTGGATGTATTATAAACATGGGAGCAGTGAGTAGGATAGTGATTTATTCCTCTGTATATATTGGTCTGACCAATACTGGAATATCTTGTCCAGTTCTGGTGTTTACATTTTTAAAAGAATGTTGAAAAATTGGAGTGGGGACAGTGAAGAGTTCAAAAGATGATCCAAGAGCTGGAAAAAATGCCTGACAGTGAGAGACTGAAAGAGTTTAATCTCTTCTAGCATATTACAAAGAAGATGTATAAGTACCTTCATGAGCAGAAAATGAGGTACTAAAGGGTGTTTTAACCTAATGGAGAAAGGCATAACAAATCAATGGCTAGAAGTTAAAACCAGACAAACTCAAATTAGAAATAAGGCACAACATTTTAACAGAGAAGATGATTAACCACTCGAACAAACTATCTTGGGATGTTGTGGATTCTTCATCTTCAAGTCAAGACTGGATGCCTGTCTGGAAAACATGCTCTTAGACAAGTTATTGGGTCAATACAGGAGTAACTGATGATCTAATGTTCCATTTTAGCGTTAAAAATTTATGGGCGTATGGACAGCGGTGGATAGCATAGGCTGGGGGAGGCTGTTCCTTCCCAAAGAGCCTGGCGTGGCCCTGTGCACTCTCTGCCCTTAGGCCCCCTTCTGCAGTTCCCGGCGCTCTGCCCTGGCCCAGGCTGGTAAGGGCTGACCAGCCTGCCACAGGGACTCGGGGCTGCTGGCACTGGGGCCATGCTGCCCGCCTGGCACTCAGGCCACACTGCCCAGCTGCCAGGTGCTCTGGGTCTGAAGGTGCTGCAGTCGTGCTGCCCGATGCACCAGGACGTGGGTGCTATGTCCGTTCTGCCTGGCTATCCGGTGTACCAGGGCTGGGGGGGCTATGGCTGTGCCATCTGGCGCGGGGGGGTCATGGTGGGGGTGCTCTGGGCTCCTTTGGGGGATAGGGAGGGGTGGGGTCTCAGGCGTAAGGGGAGGGGCCAGGGGCTAGCCTCTCCCAACGGCCAGGTCACCAGCCGCCCATGTATGAGTGCTACCTGTAGTTTTTAGCTAACCAATATTACACCACAAGTGGATGCTAGTAAGAAAAAAAACACCAATAATTTTAGATTGTAGTTTCTTTAAAAGGGTGGGAGATGCAGTACATGTGCAAGTTCTTCAGGTGCTGTTAATGGAGCTAAGGCAATTTAAATAAATGGGACTAGGCCAATTAACAGCAACTAAGGATCTAGACCAGTGATGCTCAACTCCCCACCCGTGGGCCGTTTGTGACACAACCAGCACACAGCTGTGGTCCATGTATGGCCCTGAGGAAGTCACAAGTAGTATATATATTGTTTGGATACGGCTCACGTAACACAGAGAGAGCTGTATATGTGGCCCACAATGGTAAACAGGTTGATTTAGACCCATATTTATATCTGACAATATGCATTATTATGATTTATGTTGTTTTTATTGAGTGCTACAGGAGTATGTAGCACTTGAAATCATTCATCCACTCCTGTGGATTTCCTGAAAAATGTCATACCATCTGCAGAGGTGCTGGAAAATTGCAGGTGCTATTCATGTTTCTTTGTCTCTATTGCATTTGTGCGGCTGCCAAGATACCCAACCACACATCAGGAAGCCCGGGTTTCTGCGGTACACCTTCAGCTCTGATGAGGTGGGTGGACATGGAAGGGGAAAAGAATGCAAGGATGGGGAACTAGAGAGAAAGAAGCAGGTGCAAGGCAAGGGTGGAGAAATTGCAAACAGCAGTGATGGAAGACAAGAGACAAGGAAAAGTTAAAGTGGGTGTCAGAAAGCATTGGCAACCACACAAGGCAGAAGAAAAGTGAGAAGAAAAAAGAGTGAAAAAATTTACCATAATATGAGAAAAATAAATAGGAAAGGAAATTGGAAGACAACTAGCAACAACAGAAAGAGAATCTTAGCACTCACATGGCTGGGAAAGGGGCAGGCTATAGGTTATTAACAGGACAGACAGCATCTTTGGATAGGATAGCCCACTCCTTTCCTAAGGCACGCAAAGAATTGCCAGAAGTGTTCCATCCATTTTTGATCTGAAAAGAAAGGTCTCAAAACGTCACTTGAAATGTTACAGTCTTGATTTGCATGGTGGTTTCCCAAAGGCCTTGTGTAACTTGTTTAGAAAAGAGAACAATCGTGCACAATGTAATTGGGCAAGACTAAATGACAGGAAAAGAGCTATTGCAAGACATAAAGCAACCAAGCAGCAGAGGCTGGTTGAGGATAATGCCCACAGATACTACCATAAAACAAAGCCAAAATAAAATTAACAAGAAATGATCTTAACTCGAGAATCGTTCATAATTTAAAAGTCCAGTAAAACAGCGCTCTGAACCTAAGAATATTCATGAAAGGCTGACAGAGTAAATCAACGAGATACTTCTTTCACAGTCAGGATGTTTGGCTGACTGCCCATGAGGTGAAATAGTTTCCCCAAGGGACAGAGCTAGAAAAGAAATCAGGAGATGCAGGAAAAATATGCTAGAAAGGAGCCAGCTCTGAAGCACATAGATCTTATCCTGTCTAGCCCAACCTGCATCTTCCTAAAGATCTTCACCTTTAGGGCAATGAAGCTGGTCACAACATTATTCTAAACAGGACCTAAAAAAACCCCAACCCCCCTAGGTAAACGTTCCCAAAATAAACATACAGAAAATTAGATGCCATTGATAGATCAGCTGATTTCCCCCTCCCCCCCTCTTTCCAGTTGGAGTCAGCAGCTGCTTTCATAGCCGACAAACATGTTTGCTGACATTCCCCCACTTGTAAAATGCCACGGGTGTCTCGGTCAGCATCAACAAAGCCAGACTCTGCAGCAGGGAAACTGCAGCCTGAGCTGAGAACAGGATCAAGCTTGCGGACCCTGTCAGGAAAGCAGCAGGACCTACAAGAGGGCTTCCAGACAAACGCAACAGGCTTTCTGAAGGGGTGGGTGTGTTTCTCATTTGTCTTGTGCTGCTGCATTCAGGTGAGGCTAGAAACCCCAGAGCAGCAGGCAGCAAGTACAGATCTGTTGTTTTGCAGACCCCAAGGCTCTGAGGTGCCCTATCTGAACCCAGACAACTGAGTGTGACCAATGGGGAGAAACCACCAGACTATGGGGACGTCTAGGTCTAGTGGCACATGGAGCTGGGGGTTCCCAGTGCTAGCAGGTCCCTGCAACCCCCCCAGTGTTGGACTGCAGGCGGGCCCAGTCCCTCCAAGGAGGAGGGGGGCGTCACGCATGCGCCGGTGGAAGCCCAGCGCTCTCCTGGGGTCCATGTAAGTTTGCTCCGAGGACTCTGGTCCCTTCTTTCCCAGCAGTGATGTTCTGGGCACATCGCTTCATCGGCTCCACCACGCTGCCGCTCTTCTCCCCCGCCTGGGGAGATGCGGTCACTGGTGTCTCCCGCGGCCCAGGCCGTCTTTGTGGCTCTCTTTCTCTTTGTCATTGTGTTAATTCTCTATGTGGTTCTCTGGTACATTTGCAGGGACGTCGACAGCGACTACATCTGAACACAGATCCAGTGGGATGGGATGAGCGCTGGGACCCGAGCCTGGCAAGGTAACGCATGCACAGAGGCATAGACAGCCTCTTGCTTTCGCTCAGGGTTGTGGAAAAGGGGGGTTATCTGCAAATAGGCAATTGCAGCATTTGTGATTTGAGAGCAATCGCTAGCTGAAAACCTCACCCCAAACAAACGTATTGTAATTGACAAGATATGGGTAAACAATACCCCTGAGATGTCACAGAAAAATAACAACCTTGGTTTGCTTCTTCCTGGCTAATGGTATTTTTTCCCTTCTTTCCCCTTTGAACTATGAGATGCCTTTACCTGCTTTGATGCTGATTTAACACAAAAAGGCGTAACTTATTTAATACAAGTTTTTGTAAAGTGTGCAGTAACTTCTATTCACAATTCAGGGATTTCAGACTTAAGGGGCATTAACCAGAGCTGCTTTGGGGTGTGGTTGATACAGGATGTGTGTTAATTTCCTCTTGTCTGATTTGATTTTGTAAAAACAGAAAAATCCCATGCAGATCTCAAGTCGTTTGTGGAGGAAGGGGCTGATTCTAGCATAGTCTTGATCCATACAGTTAATTTGCAGGTTAGTTTAGTAACCTCAAAATTTGGCTGATTTATACCTTATCACTAATATATTTAGTCTTTCCCCACCCCTTCCATGGAGTACAATGCTGTGTAAACATCATCATCATCATAATAAATATTTTAAATACAGAAGAGATCATGGATTGTGGAGTTATTTTGTTGCTCAACGAACTTCACAGAAAAGAAAAATTAAATATAAAATAGTAGTTTCCATTGTTAAGGCAAAAACAGGTAGTCTCTTGTTTTATTCCATCTGGATTCCTTTTGGAGTTTCCTAATGATCTGATTATCCTTTCTCAGTCTGAGTGATAGTGGGAACAAGTGGCCACTTTCGGGGATAATTAATTGCTATAGCCTGATGAATTTTCTTTTGCTAAAATGTATTTTGAAGCTGCAATTTTATTAATAGTCTAAAAAGTTTTCTGTATAGCAATGCCCACTGTCAGTGATAGTCTGTTAAACTCAGGTGGCTGATATTGTCACACCTGAAATGCTATGGTCCATACACCTGTCATGACTTACATATAGAAGGCATATGTTTTAATTAACACAATGTTGTTTTTATTTTTTGGATTTCCCTGAGGAAATCTTGATAAACAGTTCCTTAAATTATTTTCCTTATTGATACTTTTAGCGCTTATACCAGAATAGGAATATTAAAATACCCCCCATGCAACCTTTAAAACCTATTATCCCTGTATTGCTAACCAAATGTATATGGTAAGTATCAGTTGGACTATATGTGTGCTTTCTGTTAACTGTATGCTTATGTGCTCTGCTGGATTGAGGCCAACATGTTCAGCAACTTGTAGGGGGCTGAACACTTTCTGGTCCCAATCCAGAGGGTTTCTAGCTTGAGCACCTCAGATTGATCTCAAATGCTGAGGTATAGCAGAAGAAGAAAGTTTCTGAGGAACTCAAGAATTAATTCATTTAGAACTTTATAAGTTAAAAACAACTCCTTAAATTTACCTGTAAATGGTTCAGAAAGTTGTGCAAAACATGGGGCATAGATGTCACTTTGTCTCATGAGACTGTGCTATTAATCAAGCAGCTCTGTTCTGCTGTAACTGTAGTTTCTGGATGATCTGAAGGTGTAATCACACACGGACCACACTGTACATACAGTAAGCCAGTCTGGAGACAACTAAAGGAAGCCATGTGAACATCACTCTTCAGGTCTTTTAAAGATCTTGGTAAGTTTCTCCATCAAAGGAAAGGAAGCAAGCTCCAGATATTTCAAATATTTTTTAAAAGGCAGAAAAATATTTATAATGCCATCTTTATACATCATAAAGGGCAAAACCAACTTAATTTTGTTCTTACTTTGCAGTTCACCTTTAAAAGTCCGTTCTAGGATCACAGAACTTACCTGTATGTTTCTGGTCTATTCCATGTAGAGAAGACTGGTGACCTCTGAAAGGGGGTAGACAAACTGATACATGATATACAAAGTAAAAACGGCCTTAAGTGATATGGAGCACGGGCACCTGCCCTCTTTTCTACCAAATTTTTAACTTTTCAGTGGTGATAAGTCAGGTGACACCAGTTGGTGAAGGATAAAAAAAAAAAAAAGGGTCCAATGCCATGAAGTTAAATTTGAAACCCCTGCAACTCATACAGTGTGGAAGAAGTTTGTTTTTCCGCCTCAGATATGTTGCAAAACAATTTAAGGTTTGGAAAGCCCCAGACTTATCATAGAATCATAGAATATCAGGGTTGGAAGGGACCTCAGGAGGTCAACAAGTGCAACTCCCTGCTCAAAGCAGGACCAATCCCCAACTAAATCATCCCAGCTAGGGCTTTGTCAAGCCTGACCTTAATAACCTCTAAGGAAGGAGATTCCACCACCTCCCTAGGTAACCCATTCCAGTGCTTCAGTGAAAAAGTTTTTCCAAATATCCAACCTAAACCTCTCCCACTGCAACTTGACCCCACGAAGACATTAGTCATCATATGGCAACTTTCAGTGACACCAAGTGTGAGCTAAATTTGAGCAGGTGCATCTAGACTTGGTATGATCAATGCTTCATTATCAGTTCCATAGGCCATCTGGCCTTTGCTTTCCTCAGCTTTAAATTCAGAAGATGAGCCTAATCCTTAATTGAGCAAAATAAGCAAAGGTAAAAACTGAAAGTACAAACAGGATAAGTTGAGGCTGGCTTGTCAAGGTTGCTTTTTCCTGGGACACAAGCTGCTTTAATACATTCCTATCACACCCTAAACCTCTATCGGCCCTGTTTGTTTTAATGACTTTGTCAGAGGTATGTCACTGTAAGATGACTGAAATACTACATATTTAAGAGATGATGATAATGATATGGGTGTATACACAATCATTGGCTTCTGTGGATGATTAAAGGTAGAAATGAACCCTCCATTTCCAGGAACATCATTCCCAGTCTATGACAAGACAAAAGGAGAAACACTAAACCATAAAAAGAAGTCAAGCTTTTCTTGTCGTTTCATGGTTTGAAAGTTCCATGCTGAATTTCTATTGACAAACAATATGGAGGTAAGACTTAATGTTGTTTTTGAGACATAGATGAATAATTGTTCAAGAGTCTGGCCAATATGGGAGAGAACTTGCATTATTCAACAGATCTCCTGCTAAATTTTCATTCCTGGCCTGTAATTTTGCACATCTAAATGAGGTATTTGGGAATCTAATTTCCGAGTTAGATGCACATCTACAGGTGGCATTTGCAGGAGCAGTTTTGGTGGCCAGTTTTGAAATCTGGCCCTTGGTTTCAGTGAAGATTTCAGTGTCCTTTGTCAGAAGGTAATTGATTTTTGTGGTGTTGGGTGCACACGGTTTAAATCCCACAATTTGCATTTGTGCTATGGAAAGCTGTGCAGCTGCACAAATGGCACCCGTTTGCACAGATGTAGCAATCTTGCAAATTCTTGTTTATATTAATCCCAAGTGATGCAAGATTTAAATCTTACTGCACTTGATATATGTTCATGAACAAAATTGGGATGCAGTCTTCACAATTTGTGATATGAATCAAATTATGCAGTAAAAAGAAAGTACCATAAATCTCAGACTGTTCTGCCCAGAAAATGAAAAGGACGTGTATGACTTATACTTGTCACAGTGGCCAGACAACAAGATCAGACAAGGTGTCTCAACATTATTTAGAAAAGATGCATCTAGTTGATTAGTGATGTGCCACCACTTTAATTGCATCACTCATTGCACATCAGGAAATTGCTCACTACAGGAGGGACTTGACTGAAGGTAGCTCTGCTTAAGCAATCTGTTCACAACCCCAAAACACCAAAAAAGTAAATTAAAAAAAAATCTGCTAATGAAGACTTTGTGGATGATGTAGTGGAGGCAAAGAACCTCTTCTTTATCTCATATGCAGCCACAGAATAATAGTCATGCCTGCCTGCTTGCCCTGGCCCCGCGCCGCTCCGGGAAGCGGCCGGCACCACATCCCTGAGGCCTCGGGCGGGGGAGGGGTGAGAGAGAAGTGGGCTCCACTTGTTTCCCTCGCCTGTGGGTACCTCCCCTGAATCTCTCGTTGGCAGCGGTACCCTGTTCCCGGCCAATGGGAGCTGCGGCGGGGGGGTGGGGGGGGCGGTGCCTGCAGGCGAGGGCAGTGCACAGAGCCCTCAGCCCCCCCCCGCCGCCCCCCCCAGGGGCCGCAGGGACATGGTGCCGGCCGCTTCCTGGAACGGCATGGGGCCCATGGCGCCACGGGGGTGGCAATCCCACAGATCGGATCCAAAGCCCTGATGGGCTGGATCCGGCCCGCAGGCAGTAGTTTGCCCACCCCTGACTGATACTTGATATCATGTAGGGACCTGATATTGATAGAGTACATAGATAAATAGCCTGTGCCTGCTCCTTTGAAGCCAATAGCAAATCTTCCAGGCCCCTGTTCCTCATGACGACCAGCGATACTCTGGTGCAGGACTGAAGGTGGGGGGCAAAGGTGGCTGAATGATAGGTGTTAGTTAAGTCACTGGCATAAGTTAGAGCAGCTTCACGGGTGCTCTAAATGATGGATGCCTCAATGGCCTTTGAGCTATTGTTGAAACATTTGGGGAATTCGTGGAGTGTAGCACACTCTAGCCAGGCCGCCTTCTTTGGCATGACCTTAGCACACCCCCTGTATTGGAGACTACATCAGTTCTGTACAGGCTGGGGATTCCACTATGCTGCAGGAATCCACAGCTGACCAATCCAGCTAACTTTAAGGCTGCTTTATTGGGCCATTGCTTTATTGGGCTGAGCTGGGATTTTTCATGTGGAAGCAGGAGGACCATTGCTGCTGGTCCAAAGTCAGTGTCAATATCTTCATTGACCTTAATGGGAGCAGGGCTGGGTCCATGCTGTGCTTGTCAGAGGTTAGCCTTACTTAACTATAGATTTAATTACTTAGTCAGTTTGTGTCAAAACCTAAAGATGAACATTTTTGGTGGCATGGTTCTAGCTTAT